GCAAAAAAAAAAAAAAAAAGGTTTGTAAAATGATCAAAGTTTTAGATATGCAGGATAAATATGTTCTGGGCATGTAACATACAGCATGGTGAATATAGTTAATAATACTTTCAAGGACTGTATACACTTGTCCCTCTATATTGGCAGGGGATTTGTTCCAGGATTGCCCACAGATACCAAAATCTACGCAAGCTCAAGTCTCCATTTTGCTATTAACAACTGAGAAGCTGAAAAATCTCAATTTAGGGTACTGGTTTCCAGGTGAGCTCAGAATTTTCTTATTCCAGCTTGTGACATCTCAACGAATTTTCCATTTCCACCCAGTGTCGGAAGCCGTGTTCCTGGGCCACTTTCAGGATTCTGGCAGAAGGTGTTTCAGGTGAGGGGAGAAGGTTATAGTGAATCAGAGGCTCCTGGCTGATGCAACTGCGCCTTCACGTGCCACTGGGCACACACGCAGACATTCGCTTTCTTATGGCTGCCAGCTTTAAATTCTGCCCTCCAACTGTTGCTGTGCGAGGTGATCCTTTGCCGCGTCAAGAGGAGCTCACTTAGCAAGCAGAGCCCCCAGGAACGCAAGTGCCTCGGTCATCTACACTCTGAGCACGAGCAGGTCTTGCTGCTCACTCCACCTGGGGTATGGCTGCAGCCTAATCTCTCACCCTTTGTGAGTAATAATATACCTTGGATAAACACAATGGCTTCAGATGGAGCAAAGGATCTCTTTTACATGCCTTAATTATGGTTTCTCAAATTAAGTACCCAATTTATAAGAAAGATTAGCTTACCCCTTCCATCAGCATGACCTGGATGTGGGACATGGAGTCAAAGGAGATTATTTTGGAGCTTTAAGATTTAATGAGTGCCCTGCTGAGTTTCAGACTTGCACAGGGGAATGCAGTGGTGCATGCGGCCTGTAGCCCCTGTGTTTGGGCCAATTTCTCCTATTTGGAATGGGAACATTTACCCAATGTCTGCATTCTCATTGTATCTTGGAAGTAACTAACTTGCTTTTAATTTTACAGGTTCACAGGCAGAAGGGATTTGCCTTGTCTCAGATGAGACTTCGGACTTGGACCTTTGGGTTAATGTGGAATGAGTTAAGACTTTAGGGGACTTTTGGGTTAATGTTGGAACGAGTTAAGACTTTGGGGGACTTTGTGTTAATGGTGGAATGAGTTAAGACTTTGGGGGACTGTTGAGAAGGTATGATTAGTTTTGAAATGTGAAAAGGATGTGAGATTTAGGAAGCGCAGGGGTGGAATGATTTGTGATTTGTTCTGTGTCCCCACCCAAATCTCATCTCAAATTGTAATCCCCATAATCCCTACATGTTGAAAGAGGGACCTGGTAGGAGGGGATTGGAACATGGAGACAGTTCCCCCTATGCTGTTCATGTAATAGTGAGTTCTCACAAGATTTGAGGTTTTATAAGGGGCTCTTCCCCACTTTGCTTGCTCTCACCCACTGCCATGTAAGACATGACTGCTTACCCTACTGCTATGATTGTAAATTTCCTGAGGCCTCCCCAGACAGGCTGAACTGAATCAATTAAACCTTTTTCCTTTATAAATGACCCAATCTCCAGTATTTCTTTTTTCTTTTTCTTTTTTCTTTAATTTGGGGCCAGGGTCTTCCCAGGCTGGAGTGCAGGGGTGCAATCACACCTCACTGCAACCTCAAACTGCTGGGCTCAAGCAATCCTACCACCTCAGCCTCCTAAGTAGCTGGAACTACGGGCACGTGCCACAACACCCTGCTAATTTTTACTTTGTTTTTGTAGAGTCAGGGTCTCTCTAAGTTACCAAGGCTGGTCTTGAACTCCTGGACTCAAGCAATCCTCCAACCTCAGCCACCCAAAGTATTGGGATTACACATGTAAGGCACTGCAGGCAGCCTCACATTTAAAGGGCTTTTAATAATGCATTCAGGGCCAAGTGCAGAGGCTCATCCCTGTAATCCACACACTTTAGAAGGATCCCTTGAGCCCAGAAGTTCAAGACCAGCCTGGACAACATGGCAAAACCCCGTCTCTACAAAAAAATACAAAAAAGTAGCCAGGCATGATGATGCACTCCTGTAGTCCCAGCACTCGAGAGGCTGAGGTGAGAGAATCATCTAAGCCCAGGAGGTGCAGGTAGCAGTGAGCTGAGATTGCACCACTGCACTCCAGCCTGGGTGACATATCAAGATTCCATCAAAATAAAAACAACAAACCCAAACCAGAATGAGTTCATTTCTCCTGATATGAAGCAAATTTTAAGTGTAAAAATTTATTCTGATTTTTAAAAAGTTAAGTAGTTTAAGAATGCATACTATTTAGAAGAGAACTATACATACAGAAGCCTGGGCCTTACCATCACCCTGGCAAGCTAAACTTCCTCATCAACACCGTCCCTGCAAAGTTTCTGTAGAAGTTGATTCATCAATTAAAAGTCAGATCTGTGCATACACAGCTTGAAGAAACTGCCAGCAGTTCATTGCTAATTACCAGGGCAAACATTTGTATTTCAAAGTTGACCAACAGGATGACAATTCTCAAAGCTCTAAAATATTTTGTCCTATTAAACGCTAGCCTAGCGTATGACCGTTACCCATCCATGGTTACTAACAATCAAAGGTAACACTGCTTAGAGCAACAAATGCCACAGGCAGCGGTCTCAATAAATCCCTCTTTGTCTGTCACTATAAAAGCTGGTCTGGTCCCAACTCAGTATCAAGGATATCATTCCAGACAGCCCAGTATTATCAATTCAGAAGTTTCCTTAGCAAATTGGTGCTTCGGATAAACTTGCACGGGCTCCTGAATTGGAGTTTTCTGCATCATCTCCATAAAAATACTGTTTCGCCTTTAAAGTCATTGAAGAATTGAAGCAGACCCGTGGAAAGTTTCCTGAAGGAGTGAGAGTAGCTCCAAAAATAACCTGCCTTCTAGCACCAGACTACGAACCCGGAGAATCCACTTCATGGTGGGATGGTCACTCAAAGTCTGCTATGACCCTAACCCCCCAAAAGGTGATGGAAAAGGCTAGAGGAAAACCCTAAGCAATTGCCTATGCCTTGTACCTTTCTCTAGAAACCCAATCAACTAACAGGAAAGCCAATTGGAAATTTTAAAATGTAGATGCTACTCATGAGGACTGTCATCGATGTAGGAAAACCATTAACTCCAGTGGATGCCATGCTTCTTTTCCTGTATTAAAAAAGTTCCTCACATTTAATAATTTTGGTTAATTTAGATCAGTTTTGATTTAACAGACAGCATGAATCAAATTTAGTTAAAACCTTAATGATGTTGTAATATTTATTAACACAGCCAATTCTCAATATAAAAGATTTATGAATAGCCTAATACTTCTACTTTATAAACTTGCTTTATAAAAAAAAAAAAATCAAAGAAATGCTCTTTTGAAGAACAAAGTTTCAGGGCTTGGAGGAAAGAGAAAGTGATCATTACAAATTCTTCATAGAACCACCAGGAATCTTTTAATCCATTTAAATACAAACACAGAAGATCAGATTCTGATCTGACATTATTTCTGTATTTTTAGAAACACTTTTCACTCACAAATCCAAGGTTGCAATGGCATTAAAAATATCTACAGGAAAGGACTGGCATGAAATACGATATTACGATAATAGTTATTGCATTAAAGTGGTTACTTTTCTGTATTCTTTACATGTCCCACTGTATGGCTATATAATTTTTACAATAAAAAATCATAAGGAAGAATTCAAGGTTACAAAGCACTGTTGACTTTATAAAAGAATTCTTAAAACAAATGTGCAGAAAGAAGGCCTTCGACTAAGACAGAGAAGCCGCCAGGCGGAAAGGCCCGCGAGGTCCGGGAGGAGCTCCAGGGGGAAGCTCGTCGTCGGCCTTTCCAGCAGCGCTGTCCCTGGACACCGGAAGCAGTGGGAGCCCCTTCCCTGCAGCACCCTGGACTCCCATCAAGGCACGTGTGATAGACACTGTACTTCTACACATTTATTAGCCTTGGGTATAAGGGGACTCTCAGAGCACTTCTGAAATGCATACTTGATTCCTTTTTACATCGAGGAAAGTAAGATTCACACACAAATACCAAGATGACCAATGAATGGTGGCCTCGCTGGCAAAAGCAGCCATCGCAGGTAACCACATTACCCGCCTAGCTCTCTGTAACCCATGGGATTAGTGAAAGGTTAAGTAACATTTCTTTTTCAAATTCATTTCAAACACTCAACTATGTTCATTTAAAAAACAGCAACTACAGGCCGGGCGCAGTGGCTCAAGCCTGTAATCCCAGCACTTCGGGAGGCCAAGGTGGGTGGATCACAAGGTCAAGAGATCGAGACCATCCTGGTCAACATGGTGAAACCCCGTCTCTACTAAAAATACAAAACATTAGCTGGGCATGGTGGCGCGTGCCTGTAATCCCAGCTATTCAGGAGGTTGAGGCAGGAAAATTGCCTGAACCCAGGAGGCGGAGGTTGCGGTGAGCCAAGATCGCGCCATTGCACTCCAGCCTGGGTAACAAGAGAGAAACTCCGTCTCAAAAAAAAAAAAAAAAAAAAAAAAAAAAACCAAAAACAGCAACTATATGCACAAGACTGTAAACAGATGTCATTCACACTAACAGCTCACAAAGGGGTTAGTGGGCTGCTGCCGGAAGGCTTGGCCGCCGCAGGACTCACGTTTCCTTCCCGCAGTGTCTGAGTCCGCACCGCACTCCCAGCTCAGACCTCCGAGGGCAGAGACACAAGCGAACCCGTGCTGGGAACAGTTGAGGCTGAAGTCCTTGCAAGGCTCCCACCCAGGTGCCCCATCGGAAAGCAGATGTTTCCAGCGTGGCCTCGACTGGGGCAGGAAGGAGTGGTTATCTATGTACTTAAAGTTTCATAAAAATTAAACTCACACACACACACACACACAAAACCAAACCCTCCCGTACCCTTTCAGGACGGTTTGGGGCAATAAAGCCAAAATCTGTATTTAAAATAGGTGTGTCTCATAAGATAAATTTTTAGCTTACTTATTAAAGGTCCTAGTGGACATTCCAAACTAGTAACTTACACCTAGAGAGAGAAAATATAAATGTTTACTGTATAGTTACATAAAAATAGAAATCTATCAATAAAGTCCAATCCTCAAGAAATCACACAGTTTGTGCCCAAAGGCTGTATATATATGAAGAAAGGGTGACTTCCTTCCTTGATCTCTAAACAACATCCTCTCCATGTCGAGGATATCTAGAGGTTGGACATTTGCCTAATGCCACAGGGTCCACCGGCAGGGGTCACAGCTGCTGGTTGGTGAAGAAGGATTTAGTCTCCCTGCAGACAGGATTGACACAAAGCGGACAGCTCAGCGTTAGCTGCTTGGAGCACAGCTCGTTTGACTGGATGTGTGAATGCACCAAGTCGGCCAGGGCCTGGAAGATAGACAAGAAGCAAAGAGGCATCAGAAGCACAGGGTCTGCTCATCTGCCCAGGTCAGCGCTCTGGCTTGAGGTTTCTTTCCATCTGAGCAGTGAGCATTTTGGATAAAATTCTACAATATCTTCCTTTCCTGAGAATCCTCAGCTTACAGAAAGTTAAAACAGAGATTTCAGGAAATGAAATCCTCTTACCCCATCCACTAAACCTTTTCTCTGGAAAGCAGGTTTGAAATTAGACATAGTTATAGGTGGGTAGAAATCAGAAAATTGGGGCTATCTGAAGAAAGACTGAGCAGATAAGGATAAAATTCGATTTTATTTTCTAATTAATTGGAACTCCAAATGTTCTAATATGTGAGAAAAACCAATATTCTGCAAGAGTTTCTCAGAGGATTACTCTCTGGTATGTTCTACTAAAATGGTTGTAACACTGTAGATACCTTAGAGAACAATGGATTTCCATTAAGAGACTCTGCTCTTCTGATGTTTTCAACTCCACACTGAATCAAATGAGAAAAGGGAGGAAAAACACAGACATGTTTTATTTTCCTTCTTTTTTTTTTTTCAAAGAAACTGCTACAAAAAAAATACAGACACACACACACACACACACACACACAATTCAAAGTCTGACTTCAAGTGTTCTCAGACTTGCTCATGAATGAAAAACAGTCATGGGACAGGGCTGTACATTGATCCTGTTATCATAAATTATTCCTCAATTCCTATGTCCTTCCCCTTCCCGTTACCTTCCCACAGGTGATTTGTTTTTGAATCCTTTTTGTGGTTACACTTGAAATTCTCCACTGAAATCTGCTTACCATTCTTTTTTAATTCTATTTTCTAATGCATAATTTTATAGACTCTCCCTAAGTACAATGTTACTTTAAATATAATTTCATATTTGTTTTGATCCCAAGTGCGAAGATGAAGTAAATTAACTTATTGACTATAAAATGTATATTGGACCCAATTCAGAGTTGGGTTTTAAAATATATTCCTTTTTTTTTTTTTTTTTGGAGATGGAGTCTTGCTCTGTCACCCAGGCTGGAGTGCAGTGGCACTGTCTCTGCTCACTGCAACCTCCACCTCCTGGGTTCAAGGGATCGTCCTGCCTCAGCCTCCTGAGTAGCTGGGATTACAGGCACCCACCACCATGCCCAGCTAGTTTTTGTATTTTTGGTAGAGGCAGGGTTTCACCATGTTGACCAGGCTGGTCATGAACTCCTGACCTTAAATGATCCACTCGCCTCAGCCTCCCAAAGTGCTGGGATTACAGGTGTGAGCTACCAAGTCTGGCCTAAAATATATTCTTACGGAGAAAAAGCTAAAGAAAACATGGGAGGATTGTTTCAGTACCATCCCTACTCCCGGTTCCAAAAATATTCACTGCCTAATAACTGAAATTGGTCTAATAATGATTTACTCAGCTAGTTAGGATTCGTCTATTTCCCTTTTCTTCTGGTAGCTTTTCAGTACTTGGTCATTTGTTATTTATTTATTTATTTATTTACTGAGATGGAGTCTCAATCTGTTGCTCAGGCTGGAGTGCAATGGCACAATCTTAGCTCACCACAGCCTCCACGTCTCAAATTCAAGTGATTCTCCTGCCTCAGCCTCCCGAGTAGCTGGGATTACAGGCACGCACCAACATGCTCGGCTAAATTTTGTATTTTAGTAGAGATGGAGTTTCCCCATGTTGGCCAGGCCGGTTTCCAACTCCTGACCTCAGGTGATCCACCCGCCTCGGCCTCCCGAAGTGCTGAGACTACAGGTGTGAGCCACCACGCTGGACTCAGTTACCTGATCTTTTAGATTAGCATTTACATCAGGAGATTGCCATGAGACAAACATCGAGATTCAGCAAACACATGGATCTCAACTTAAGAGGCTGTATTCTCAAACTTCATATAAAAGTCTGTTACCACAGGATAACCAATGTTGGCAAAGGGCATTTTCCAACAACGTTGGTGGGAGAGTCAGCGATACACTGACTAGAAAAATATATAGCAACACTGAAATTCCACGTGCACCTGTAGTCCCAGCTACTCCAGTGAGGAGAGAGGATCACCTGAGCCCAGGATTTTGAGGCTGCAGGGAGCTATGACTGTGCCACTGCACTCCAGTCTGGTTGACAGAGCCAGATTTCATCTCTAAACAAATTTATAAAATCACAAAAAAGTTAAAATAAAAAAATTGTTTTCCAAACATATTGGTATTAAACTATTATTTTCACTGAAGTTTTAGCAAGTACACGATTAGCCAAGCTCATGGTGAGCTACAGAGGGCATCCTGAAACGAAATCCACAGACAATGCTGCAACCACTTCTTAGCCGATTACAACTTGCCTGCAAATCCTTTATCAGAATCACTGACAAGAAACTTAGGTGCTTCCTAGCTTCACCCATGTCTGATTGATGTTCAGCCTGGAAATTCAAAATCCATGGGGGCTGGGTGTTTGCTCAAGTTCTGCCCCACCCACTCTCTGCCCTGCCCTGCACCTGCTGCCCAGTCCCAGAGAGGATGAAGTCTTCTGCAGGCTGGGCCTCCGTCTATCACACACGGGTGACCAGGGCCAGAAACTCTGGCAGAGAGAAAGGAAAGGGTTTCTTGGATACCAACGCTTCCATACTCCCCATAAAAATAAAGCTATATATTGGACACAGGTTTTAGGCCTGCTCTCAGAAGCCAGGACATAGATGAACAAATAGTTTTTCTCCACCCTGAATGACAATTCACATCCATCTCATATTACTAGACACCAAAGATGGTTTGTTTGTTTGTTTGTTTGAGATGGAATCTCACTCTGTTGCCAGGCTGGAGTACAGTGGCGCAATCTCAGCTCACTGCAACCTCAGCTTCCTGGGTCCAAGCGATTCTCCTGCCTCAGCCTCCCCCGAGTAGCTGGGACTACTAGGTGCACACCACCACACCCAGCTAATTTTTGTATTTTTAGTAGAGACAAGGTTTCACCATGTTGACCAAGATGGTCTCTATCTCTTGACCTCGTGATCTGCCTGCCTCAGCTTTCCAAAGTGCTGGGATGACAGGCGTGAGCCACCGTGCCTGGCCAAAGATGGCATTTGTTATTTCAATAATCAGATTTATCACAACCCGGCAGCAGATAGCTAAATAATTGAGTGCATAAAGGAGGTCAAGGAAATCACAACACACATTGATTCCACATTCATTTCATGCTCTTCTCTTAAATTACAATGACTCCTGTATGCCTTGACACTCAACAAGAAGCCATGTAACAACCCTGAGTAAAGGTTACTATTAGGCAAAGAAAAGAAATTATAAAACAATAAACCATTTTCCTTTGGAATTAGTGAGAAGTACAATTCTTTTTTCTTAAGGAAGTGTAGTTGTTATTACTTTCAAGGAGTCCAGTAACTCAAACTAAACAAAATGATGTCAGCCACAGTGATCCCTGGGTCACCTGGTTCAATGAACACACAGGCTTCCCCTCCCACTGCTGACACGGAATTAACTCAATGTGCTGAGATTATTACTCAGACGACATATTGTTCAGAAGAACGAGGACACCATATGTGCAAACAAATATAGTAAACAATATTTTCTGAATGATACATTAGTTAGTTGAAGAGAAAGTTTCCTTTCAAAACAAGTCATGATGGGATTAATGCAGATAGGTGCATTTACCTCCTTGGCTAAAACTTGAGAGTACTCGATGTCCAGCTCATACAGCGTTTCAATGTGGTCACTGGTAAACGCTATCGGAACCAAGAGGATATTCTTCCTTCCCCTCTCACAGAGTCCTTTGATAGATTCATCTGTTTGAGGACCCAACCAGGGCATCGGACCAACCTATGTGAAAGGAAGACGAAAGCGTAAGGGGAACATTGCTCCTGATGGTCTGTAGTATCTCTGTTTGCCACCTAGACACACACACTGCCCACGGGGGCAAAAGCCACCCTTTACACCTGCTTGGATAGGTTTGATATTTTCACATGGAAGCTTGAATCCTAGAAGTTGCCTCAAGATAATAAGTAACAGTTTCTGTCATTGCAGCTAAAAGCAAAATATTAAACCAATGGAACTCCACGAGTCACTTGATGTCCCCTTCTATCTTACTCGCTTGCAGAGTTCCTTCTGCCCATGGTGAGGAATCAGGTTATGGAACAGCCTGTCTACGTGGAGGAGCCAAATCTACCATTTCATAACTAACTCATAAAGTAAACTTTACCAAAAGAGCTGGTTGCCCGCAGAAGTGTGGAAGCCACCCACCTTGGATTGCCACACGAGTCGGAAGGGGTTGCAGTACCCCAGCCTTTCCATGACTTTTTGGACAGTGGCGCTCACCTCCTGAGGATACGGGTCACCTCTGTTGACCACCTGCAGGAGAGACACAATGGGTGTTCAGTCACCAACACTGGAAGGCCCCGACTATGTGCTGACACGGTGTGAGCCCTGGAACAAAGTCCTCCCTTTCTGTCTCCTGCACCAATGATGATACGGTCTGAGTTCAGTCACCAAACTTCCTTAGTTCCACTTCTCCATCAGCCAAAGAAAAACCCTTCACTCAGTCATCTCTAAGGTCCCTAAGAGGGTGTAGACTTCCATGTTCCATGTTATTCATGGGTCTAAGGATGGTTCTCTCTCTTATCTGAAATATGAAGATGACAGAAAAGCTGGGCAGGATGGGAATTTCTACACTGGTGGTCATGTGAGTAGTGATTTCACAACAGGAAGTGAAAGAGGGCTGCATGGACAATGTACAGAACTGCTGGATTTACGGTAAACCCCAGTGGAATTAGAGGAGGAATGCAGCACCTGGGTGCAGGTTACAGGCACCTCCAAGAGTACGACCTGCACCTTCCACTTCCTCTCTCTCCACTCTTCCTGCAACAATGGACAACAGGCAAACGCTCTGTGCACAGCAAATGTTTCATACACATTCCCTTGTTAATACCTTTGAAATGTTTCCATGTAAATTTTAATGCTTTAAATATTTACTGTGTACTGACTCCCCAGCCCTCACCTGGCTTTATTTTCTTCTACAGCATCTGTTACCTGCTAATCTACCATACTGTTTCTGTGTGTATTATGTTTATTATCTTTTCTCCATACTCTCTGAAGAGAAAGATTTTTGTCTGTTTTCTTCATTTCCATATCCTATGATATGGATAGAAACAGTGCCTGGAATATAGCAGGTGCTCAATAAATATTGGTGAAATTAAATATAATGACAAGTTGGGTCCAGTGTCTCACCCCTGTAATCCCAGCACTTTGGGAGGCCAAGGTGGGTGGATTGCCTGAGGTCAGGAGTTCAAGACCAGCCTGGCCAACATAGTGAAACCCAGTCTCTACTAAAAATACAAAAATCAGCCAGGTTTGGTGGTGGCCCCTATAATCCCAGCTACTCAGGAGGCTGAGGCTGGAGGACTGCTTGAACCTGGGAGACAAATGTTGCAGTGAGCCGAGATTGCACCACTGCACTCCAGCCTGGGTGACAGAGCAAGACTCCATCTCAAAACTGACAAAAATAGTTCATCAGTACATACATACACACACACACACACACACACACACACATATATGCATATATATGTGTGTGTATATATATACATATAGACTCCATCTCAAAACATACATATATATACACATATATATGTTTTGAGATGGAGTCTTGCTCTGTCAACTCACATATATATATGTATACATGTACTGACATATGCTATATATGTATACTATGTATGTCAGTATGTTATATACTATATATACTGTATAGTACATATAGTATAGTACAGTATAGTGTGTGTATATATGTACTGACGAACTATTTTATGATTATTACTACTGGTTTGTTTAAAAGCCATGGGAGGCATAAACGTCGAAGGAGTGAAGGAAACGCAAAGCCGCCACTGGAACAGCAATGCAGTAATGCCACAAACATGAACTACCTGCGGATGCTAAGATTAGAGCAAACTGAGGAATAACAGAATCTCTGTATTGTCTCAAAGTACCTCCTCCAAGACATTTTTAATTACAAAGTGAAAACTAGTAATTGTAGGATGGATCAACATGGCAGACACAACCTTAAACGAGGGACCAGGGATCACATCGGCAGAAGAAAAGCACATTGACATCACGGACCCCCGGGTGTGACGCACAGAGCAGGGCCCGCCAATGATGCATAACCGCAATCTAATCGTGAGAGAACTTCAGACAGATCGCGCCACAAAACAACTGACTTCCTAAAAATGGCTCCTCAAAGATACCAAGGTGCGGCAGGGCGTGGTGGTAATCTCAGCACTTTGGGAGGCGGAGGTGGGTGGATCACCTGGGCCCAGGAAGTCGAGACCAGCTTGAGCAAATGGCGAAGCCCTGTCTCTTCAAAAAATACAAAAGTTAGCTGGGTGTGGTGGTGTGTGCCTGTAGTCCCAGCCGCTCAGGAGGCTGAGGTGAGAGGATCACCCAGGTCTGGGAGGTCAAGGCTGCAGTGAGTTGTAACTGCACCGCAGCACTCCAGCCCGAGTGACAGAGTGAGACCCTGTCTCAAAAAAAAAAAAAAAAAAAAAAAAAAATCAAGGTGATGAAAGAAAAGCCAAGTATAAGAACCGTCACAGATTGGAGGGTGCTGAGGAAACCCCACACCCACACACAGTGTGGGACCCTGGACTGGGTCCTGGAAGAGAAAAAAGACAGCTTTGGAAACAGAGGTGACATCTGCATGAAGTCCAGAGTGCAGGGAACAGCAGCGTGCCGGAGCTGCCTTCTTAGTTAGTGTTGATAACTGCAGAGGGTTGTGTGAGATGTTAACGTTCAGGGAAGCTGAGGAGAAGGGGTACGTACTCTTTTAACTCTTTACTCTTTTAACTAGTTTCCTGTAAGTTTAAAAATTACTTCAAAATAAAAAGTTTAAAAAGTCGTTAGAAATAAATGTCGGGGAAGAGAAGAGCGTGCTAGGTCAGCGCTCTCTCTCAACTCTCCAACTGTCCTCCCCACGCCAGACTTATCCTTATGACATTGTGGCACTTCCTGGTCCCACAAGAATGCTTGAGCAGCACAATAACCTGGAAGCAGCATGCTCCACCTCCAGGTGAAAGACCAAGGAAGTGAGTGAGACCAGGGTGAGGGGAGGCCAGGCAGTGCCTGGAATCCCCACTACAAAAATGGGTTTTGCCCGGGCACAGTGGCTCATGCCTGTGATCCCAGCATTTTGGGAGGCCAAGGGGGGTGGATCAGTTGATGTTGAGACCAGCCTGGGCAACATGGTGAAACTCTGTCTCTACTAAAAATACAAAAACTTAGCCAGGTGGGGTGTTGTGTGCCCGTAGCCCCAGGTCCTCAGATGGCTATGGCAGGAAAATCGCTTGAATCCAGGAGGTGGAGGCTGCAGTGAGCCATGATCGCACCATTGCACTCCAGCCTGGGCAACAGAGCGAGATCCCATCAAAAAAAAAAAAAAAAGCAAATGTGTTTGCTCCAAGCTGGTTCAAGAGCTTCCCTCTGGCAACCCAGGCCAGGTCTCGCCATATACAGGATGAGGCAGGAAGATGGACATGTGCAAAGGACTGCCTGACACCAGAAAAGGAAATGCAAACCCATTAAAATAGGCGAGCTTCCAGAAGAGAGGTCCAGAGAGAGGAATTTATTTCCAGAGCCTCCTACCACCCACCCACATGATGCCCAGCAGAGATGAGTGGAAAATCTACAAGGGCTTGTCCCTCATGGCCACCAGGGGGCGGTAAGGCCCAGTTACAATCATGGCCCCAGACAGGTTGGCTCCATTCCCAATGTTGTTAAAACCTCAATCACACCTATGAAGAGATAATTCTCCACCTCTCCGGCTTGGAAAGCACTGTTTTTAGGACACAATGCTAGTTCTGAGCAGATGAAACTGGTTACTTATTCCAAGCACTTCTATATTACCATACAGCACACTAGCTTGATCATTCTTGTTTCCAACGAGACAGCTATAGCACAGACTGTAGCATCTGGATGAACAGCCTAGTGTAATATGATGAACTAAAGAGCAGCCAGATCCCAATTTGATCCTCTGTATTCACTTGCAAAAATGTGTCCTGGGTCTTAGCAAACTGCAGTGGCTGCCTGGAATTCAAACAGCCCTACCAAACCCTGAGGACAAAAGCATGGAATTGAGAGGCTTCATCTGAACGGAGACCCTCCCACTCAACACACAGCAACATCACGCTGAGCTCTGATGACAGGACAGGCGAAAGTAACCTTCTCTTAACTGTTCCACTTATTGGAAAGTCTTACATTTGAATATATCTTCAAGTTATCATTTTAAAGAAAAAAGGAGCCAGGCGTGGTGGCTCATACCTGTAATCCCAGCACCTTGGCAGGCCAAGGCAGGTGGATCACCTGAGGTCAGGAGTTTGAGACCACTCTGGCCAACATGGTGAAACCCAGTTTCTACTAAAAATAAAAAAAATTAGCTAGGCATGTGGTGGGTGCCTATAATTCCAGCTACTTGGGAGGTTGAGGCAGGAGAATTGCTTGAACCCAGGAGGCAGAGGTTGCAGTGAGCTGAGATCGTGACCTTGTACTCCAGCCTGGGTGACAGAGCAAGACTCTGTCTCAAAAAAAAGGAAAAGATCTATTTAAAACATTAAAATTTGAATTCATTGTTATGAGGTTTGAAGAAATGAGGCTAGTTAAACCAGCAGCAAGTCAAGTATCAGGAAAAAAAAATTAGCAGCACGTCTGAGATTTGAGAATTCATTCTTGCACTGGGCTTAGGACATAATGGAAGCTAGACTCATTTTACACATTTAGAAAATGAAATCACCCAATCCTCTATCACTAGGTCATACAACAAAACGTTCTTACTTACAGACATTGGCAGTGAGTGAGCAGAAAACAGAATGACCACCTCGCTTCTCTTCTCAAGTGGAAAATGGTCCAGTTCCTTTAGAATGTGGTCTGCAAAGCACTGCGGGAATCACAAGAAAGGAGGATAAAGAGGAAGGGAAGAGAGAAATTGAAGGAAAAAGGAAATATTTTTAAAATGAAAGCTACACCAAAAATCTCAGAGCAACCCTCAAAAATCAGACCTCTCTTTTTTTAAAAATTGCAAACAGCCCAGCCTCTAAGCATTGGTTTATTATCAAAATGGATCATAACGGTTTCAGGGGCCTGGGGAATTTGCTGGGAAACTTCTAAAGCTCACTAATGGCTCACTGCAAATGTGCGCCGTGGATGTGCTTCCCCTCGGGAAGGACAGGGCACATTTCCAGATGGAAAGGAAACACAGATGGGAAGGAGAAGTTGTTTTAAGACGTCTCATTTGCTCCGTTAGCAGGAAAACAGCTTACAGGGTCTTTCTAAAGCCTCCTTGGTTTGGCTTTCAGGCATACCACATTAAATACATGAGTCAGAAATAGTAGGGAAATAAGAAAATACTGTTCTATTTTTACAACATTTTCTTCTGAGCCTTGTATCCCCATCAAGTCCATTTTTATAAAAACCTTCACAGTAACAGATGACAGGTGATACACACCCACTAAATTCACAGAGCGGGGAAAGGTGTGGTAAGCTCAGGGGCCCATTCAGTCCCATCTGGGGAACTTGGGAAAGAACGTGGTTCCTGCCTCCCGCTCCAAGCCTCTGTCCACCAGACCAGGGAGCTGCCTTCGTCTAGCTAGCACTTTCTGATTCACATTGATAGGTGCTGAAATACCAGAGCTGAAGGGCTTTCTTTCATCTTATACTTTAATCATTCTCTGTCATTTAGCCTACAAAAAATGCTACAAAAGACAGAAACGGGTCAACTGACAAAATCAGAATATGAATGTAAATTAAGTAAAAGTTTATGTATTGATGTTAAATTTACTGAATTTGAATGTTGTATTGTGGTTATGTAAGAGAATATTCCTGATTTTAGGAAACACACACCTAAGTGTTTAGGTATAGATGATGGTGATATATGAATAACTTATTCCCAAATGGGTCAGGAAAAAAAGCATGTATATACAAACACAGAGACACACACATATACACACACATAGAGTATGTAAATGATAAACCAAGTGGGATACACATGTTAACACGTCGATAGGCCAGACGCAGTGGCTCACGGCAGTAATCCCAGCACTTTGGGAGCCAAGGTGGGAGGATTGCTTGAGCCCAGAAATTCAAGACCAGCCTGGGCAACATGGAAAGACCTAATCTCCACAACATTTTTAAAAATTAGCAGGGCATGATGGCACATGCCTGTGGCATCTGAGAAGGCTGAGGCAGGAGGATCACTTAAGCCCAGGAGGTCAAGGCTGCAGTGAGCTATGAACATGCCACTGCACTCCAGCCTGGACAACAGAGTGAAACCCTGTCTCAAAATAATAATAATACATGAATATAGGTAAAAGAGTAGATGAGAGTTCCTTAGACTGTTTTTAATCTTGTCACTTTTCTGCATATCTAAAATTATTTGCAAACTTCCATTATAACTTTTTAAAAATTATAAATGTAAATCTGCACTTGTTGGTAGTTTGATATGTCAGTGTCAGTGAAAACAATGGGATAAGCAAACTATTCCCTGAGAAATATTAAGATATGATTAATCTTTTAAGAATTCTCAAAATGTGGTAAATAAATGTCCTAAGGCATAAAATGGTACCTAAAGGTAAATTCCTTTTTCAGAATTTATCATGTAAATTCTCAGTAAATGTGATAGGATTAAACACAAACAAAACCAGTATTTTCTGGTCTTTGCAGTGTTTGGAAACTAAGGATGCTCAGAAAGGATTATTTTTGGACCTCAGCCTAGATAAAGAGGCCCACTGCAAGGTTTAGACAGGAGCCTAGAACATGTATTTGCTCCAATTACTCCAACGGCCAAATAAGTGCCAATATTACAGAAAACAGTAATAAAATGACTATTTGGAGTAATTACTACCTATGCCAAGTAGAAATGTGAATTCAAAATGGAATTTGTAGTTTTTAACTATATTTTTAATTTTAGTTTTGTTTTCCGGTTTCCAAAAATGTCACATCCTATCCAAAGCTTAGTGTTTTGTTTTGCTTTTTTTCTTGGCTTGCAAAACTGCAAGTAAAAACACAAAAAAGCCATCCTCAAAACTGAGGCACCATGGGCAAGGAGAAGTGTTATTTAAATCACCTAAAACCCATCTGCAGTATTTTCTATACGCAACCCCTCTGCAGAATGAAAGAGGCACCGAGCCTCTCAGAGCCTTCAATCACATCATCTAGAAGGGCAGATAAATGCCTCTAAAATTCCCTTTCATTTTATGAACAGAGACTTCCTCAGTTAAGAGACCTTTCCATCGTCCTGCTTCCCCCCTTTTCAAAGGGCTGAATTTTAATGCAAATCTAATTACTCACTCGTTCAGGGCAGGCAGATGCTGTGCAGATCCCTCCATTCCCTGCTACCACATGTCAGTGCTGACCTGAAACACCCCTCCTTTCCAATCACAGGCCTCCCAGAGCAAAACCCGGGCTGCTGGTGCTTCAGGCAGTGCTGGCTGGACCCAGCAATACAGCCGTCAGTGGTGCACACAGAGACCACAACTACACCCACCCCTAAGGGTAAGCCTTCTTTTCACTTTTTACTTAAAATTGGATTTCAACCCAAGTGTTAACCCTTTATATGCCCATGGAACACTGCTCTAGGGGAGAGCTGTCCTGATTTCAATGATATCTAGCACCATCTAGTGGTCACAGATTTCAGTGACACCAGACTTTAGAAGTTGTGAGTAGGACTTTTTGCCAGGAGTCAGAAAACCTTCAAGGGAGTGAAAAATAAAATGGATAAAATCTAAATGACTTAGTACTACCTCTACCTAAAATAACTCAAAAACAGAAACTTCTACTAGCAGAACAAAATTATGTTTGCATAATTTAGGGCAATATTTTACCAATTGCCCTCTCATATTTGACAGGCAGAAAAGAATATGATAACATAAGTTCAAAGCTACTAATTTTAGAACTGTAATTTTAACTTATTCTCCTAAAATCAAGCATCTGTTAATAAAAGTATTATAAATATAAACTGTATAGAAGAAATATGAAATTTCTTTTAATATGTGAAACTTTCTCAATTGAAACATTCAATTCATTTTCATGTCTCAGAACATACAGCTATATTACTTTTACATTTTTTAAATCTTTTGACATTTTCAAAGATTTAGAAACTAGAAAATTTAATTCACTGGTTAGTCATTCAATCTCTAAATGTGAGTTAGCTGAAACACCATGCACAATCTTTAATGATCTTCTGGTCATGGGAAACTCAAAACTCAAAATATCACTTTGTGACGATTTGGGACTAATAGCATTAATGTGAAGAAAGAAGAGTCTAATCATTTTCATCTTTAAATTCATTTTCTCTTTTCATAATAAATCAAGGGTGTAATACTTTTATTTAATCCCTAACACACAATTTAAGCCAGAGAACAGTAAGGCTCAGAAGGATGAACATAAACCCAGAAGGGACGAGCAGCTGATTCACACTAGACAATGGGGTGAAGGGCGGCTGGCAGTCACTGGCTTACCTGAATGAGGAGGCGATGTGTGGGCCACCTGTCAATAGTGCTCCACTTCATCATGGGCTTCCGTCCCACTTGATTATAGTATCTGTAAATGGCATTTAAGCTGCTGCCTGAAATATACAGAGGCCACTCAGTAGATGCATTTTGATTTTGGTGAAAATAAAAAACAGACTCGTAAAGGTAGTATATATAAGTTCAAAGCAGTAACTGCTTCTATACTGAATCAGTCTAATTACAAATTATTTCAGTACTCTAAAGTGCATACAGATTTAACTACCCTGAAAATGAAGATCACTAAAAAGCAATCAATTTCAATGGACTTTCAAAGATTACTGATGTCAGTTCTAGTGAAAAACAAGCTGGCTGCAGAGTTATGAAATACAAGCAGTCATATTTACAGGGACAAGTCTTACAATTGAAAGTATGTTGGCTGGGCGTCGTGGCTCATCCCTGTAATCCCAGCACTTTGGGAAACCGAGGTGGGCGGATCACCCGAGGTCGGGAGTTTGAGACCCCTGTCTCTACTAAAAAAATTCACAATTAGCAGAGCATGGTGGTGCATGTCTGTAATTCCAGCTACTCTGGAGGCTGAGGCAGGAGAATCACTTAAATCCAGGAGGCGGAGATTGCAGTGAGCCAAGATTGCACCATTGCACTCCAGCCTGGGCAACAACAGCAAAACCCTGTCTCAAAAAAAAAAAAAAAAGAAAGAAAGAAAGAAAGAAAGTACGGTTTTTTTCACAGTTACAAAGATTATCAACCCCATCACAGAAAATGTATGGGATGGGGAAGGAAAGAAAAAAGGAACTGAGCATTTTCCCAGCGTGCTAATCACAGTCATTGTTTTACTCTAATATAGTTCTTTTTTTCTTTATAGCTATTTCGTTTTACAAAGTTGTAATTTTTAATATATATGCAATTCTGCATGCTGAGTATTTTGAGCATTTTTACTAAATATTCTGAGATAAATATTTTCTATGTTACAATAAAAGCTTTATAATGATTTTTTGTTAGGTTGGTTGGTTTTGAGACGGAAGTTTTGCTCTTGTTGCCCAGGCTGGAGTGTAATGGCGTGATCTCAGCTCACTGCAACCTCCACCTCTCCATGCTTTCCATCACCAGTCCTCTGGGCTCTCTAACTGTAAGAACTATTAGTTAGGTTTCCAATTTAAAATGTTAGTCAGGAGAGAGCATATTTTGAATCAAATATACCCTCAGACTAAGACTCAACTTCCAGAAGGATAGACAGGTTCCATTTTGGTGAGTAGAATACAGTGCATCAGAAGAATTCAAAAGGACTCCATTCAAGGTTCAGAAACAATCTGTCCAGAAATCAAAAAGTAGTCACCACTATGTTCACATTATAAACCATACTTCACAGGTAGATATTATTTTCATATGTGCAAGGGGGCATCTGGAAGCTACATTAGTGCTTTCAGGTTGCTTGGAAACATTCAATAAACAACCCAACTTTTTGTAGTAGCACATTCCAAAAAGAAATAATAATTTAAGCAGAGCGCCTATAATCCCAGCACTTTAGGAGGCTGAGGAAGGTATATTACTTGTGGCCAGGAGTTTGAGATGAACCTGGCCAACATGGTAAAACCCTGTCTCTACCAAAAATACAAAGATTAGCCAAGCATGGTGATGCATGCCTGTAATCCCAGCTACTCGGGAGGCTGAGGCAGGAGAATTGCTTGAACCTGGAAGACAGAGGTTGCAATGACAGAGCGAGACTCTGTCTCAGAGAAAAAAAAAAAAAAAAAAAAAGAGTGCAATGGCGTGATCTCAGGCTCACCGCAACCTCAACCTCCGCCTCCTGGGCTCAGGCAATTCTCCTGCCTCAGCCTCCTGAGTAGCTGGGATTACAGGCACGCGCCACCATGCCCAGCTAATTTTTTGTATTTTTAGTAGAGACGGGGTTTCACCATGTTGACCAGGATGGTCTCGATCTCTTGACCTCATGATCCACCCTCCTCGGCCTCCCAAAGTGCTGGGATTACAGGCTTGAGCCACCGCGCCCGGCTGATAATTTAAACTCTTGAGGTATATGAGAACTCAGGCATTTAAATGAGTTATCTGAACAAATATTTAAGGCACATAACAAGCTTTGACTTTTTCTTCCAATAGTCTTGATTCTCCTTATGGTTACAGAAAATGATAAACATTAATATCCAAAAGTAATTTGGGACTAAGAATGTGCAGACCTCAATCCTTGCAATGAATGCAAACAAATGTATTTGTGGGTGACAGTAGCAGCTCTGCCTACAATGAATGATACAGAGATTGCCAAACACAGATTATTCTTCAGCTCCAGTTAAATACACAGAAAACAAGCAGTAACATTTTCCAAAATCAGGAACACAGAGAATTTTGCAAAGGAAACTCCAAACTGGGCTTTAGTATTACCATCAACCAACCAATGTATCAGCACAACAGCAACAACAAAATACCAGTATTTCCCACGTTGTGTGGGCCTCTTTGCTTTCAAAATGGGAACAGTTACAATCTTTGCTATATCAATAAGAAAATCTGTGGCCAGGAGCAGTGGCTCATGCCTATAAGCCCAGCACTTTGGGAGGCCGAGATGGGTGGATCACCTGAGGTCAGGAGTTCAAGACCAGCCTGACCAACAAAGAGAAACCCCGTCTCTACTAAAAAATACAAAATTAGCCAGGTGTGGTGGCACATGCCTGTAATCCCAGCTACTTGGGAGGCTGAGGCAGAACCACCTCTTGAACTCGGGAGGCGGAGGTTGTAGTGAGCCGAGATTGCACCATTGCACACTCCAGCTTGGGCAACAAGAGCAAAACTCTTTTTTTTTTTTTTTTTTTTTTTTTTTTTGAGACAAAGAAAGAAAGAAAATCTGGGTAGCCATAAAAAGAAGGTTTATCGCACAAACCTAGAAAGTGCCTTAAGGTTCATTTACTGATCCATTACACAATAGCATTAAAGCGCTGAGCACTTACCAGCCACTGCCTACCGCCCACCATTTGTAATCCCCAGCCAAGTGGCCAATAATTCAAGGGACAGATGGACCATGAGACTTCAAATGGACTGACCTAAACTCCCATGTTGAAAGAAGACAGGCTGGATTTGCCATTCAAATTGCAAATGATTCATCCTTCTCCCTCAGTACTTAGACTCCTTGTTATCTTTGCCGGCACCGCATCTACCTGTCCACTGTGAAAGAGAGATGCCTTACCTGTGGTGGAGCAGCTGTACTGTGGATACTGCGTGAAAGCAATAGCCCTTTCTAGGCCATCTCTCTCCATCTCTTCAATTGCTTCTTCCGTTAAAGGATGGACGTACCGAAATCCAATATAGTATTTGTGAGGGGCTATTAGGAAGCGCATGTGGAAAGGAGAAAGTATTAATCTTTATATAGATTCCTGAGAGTCACCAAACATAACGCAATGCCAGAACAAAGAGCAGCTAATGTAATTTCCTATGGCACTGACAGTGAAGGCAAGTTCAGCATATTCCTTGGATCTTATCCACTCTTCAGCTGGTATGTGGACTTTTAATCAGGATTTTCGGGGATCAGCACCCCACCCACACACCTTTACTGCACAGTGGTTTTTAAAACTCAAACTTCTGTTCCTAATTCTCTGTTTTTGGCTGGCATAAGAGAGCCTCAAGAGAAAGGAGGAAAAAACAACACTTATTCTAAAATAGGACTTCCTCTTGCATACCAGACACCATGGTAGACACTGTGTGTTATTTTTTTAATCATTTAAACCTTGTTTTTCAGATAAGAAAACAGAGACTCTGAAGGTTAACTGAACTGCCCAAAGTCACACCTTGCAGGTGGTCAAGCTGGAATTAGAGCCTGGAAGCCCCGCCCCATGCTTCTCGCTCCTCCCAGGTCCCCCTACCCTGCTCCTATTACCCAGTTCCCCAAATCCCCAGGCCACCTTGTTTGTATTTAAAAAATGCAAGACCTCTTGGATACGTAAAAAAAAAAAAAAAAAAAAAATCATTGATAACAAATGATTAAAATGATTCTCCTCATCACACATATAAAACAATGCTTAATTTGGAGGTACCACATGGGATTTAAAGCCATTGTTCTTGATGTCTAAATGGCCCATACCTGCTACATATCCTTGTGTTCTTTCCCTGTCCCTTCCCTGTCCTTTCACCAACATGCTCCTCTATATTCTTCTTCCTCCCGCATCTCCCTTTCCTGTATTTAAAAAACATTCACACCACCTAACTGCTTAAGCATGTATAAAGTCACAAAACTACAAGTTTCCTAAACTTACTTAGTCTTGGTTCCTTGCCTTTTCATAGGATTACATATAACTTACACTCAGAGGTGACAGTGAGAATCAGTACATGAATGTCAGGTAGTACTGAACCACGATAATGTTACCATCCAAAGCATTAGAAGGGGCTGCAACTACGAATGCGACACAAATTGCCCCAAGAAACATCTAAGTTAAACTGAAGGAAAAGATGGGAGTTTATCTCATTTATACATAGATACATACAAGGATGACATTCCTCCTAACTTGACCCAGAACTACAAGCCAATGGAACACATACCCAAGGAAGAAGCAGAATGCCGTTAGGTGAGAGATACATGTGTATGTGGAAAAGCTGGTCGGACTCAGTATTCTCTGGTTGGGGATGGCGAAAAGGAGGAAGGAAGTAAAACTGAATCATTTGCAGCTCTCTGTCCGTTTTCAGGCCACCAATTTCATGCTGTCTTGCAAAAAATGGTCACTAGCAATTAACATGTATCCGAGTAGATGTGATCCCATAAGCAAACTCCAAATGACTAATTGTTCAAAGATTATGTGCTTCATGCTAAAAACGGCCAACTATTACCATACCGTCAAATCTACTGAAGCAACTTCTGGTGATCTGACCTCAGGTTTAGCAAGCAAGGGGAAACTGCTTTCAGATCTACTTTGAAACAATACGATGATCAGAATGCCATCCCCAGTGCTGCAGGTCAACCAGCTCCTCACGTTTTCTTTTCACTTGTCCAGTATCTGCAGGTTATAGTCTAAACACCTGGGGTCTGGGAGTTCCCAGACCCTGCATACTAGGAGGTAGACAGGCTGCTGTGGCAGATAAAGACAGGGCGGGTGGCCACATTTTAAAGTGAGACAGAGTAAAATACTCTGGAAATAACTGATAATGTTTTCTAAAGGCTTTCTAAAGACAGCTTGTAAACACATACTGTAAAAAAAAAAAAAAAAAAAAAAAAAAAGGCAATATCCCCGACCAGGCATACCCTGAGGAACCAACAAACAGTGTTCATGAAGGACCCCTGTCCATCAGGGTGGGTTTCACACTGTGCTGGCTGCCCCTGGCAGGATGCAGGCATGAGAAGGAGCCCCTCTGATGTTAACCAGCACCACATCTCACGGGCACATCTGGCCAGAGTGAGCCCCAAAACACATAACTCACTGGCCTAGCCCAGGTACCCTCAGAGCAGCTGTCCAATGAATAGTCTTCCACAAGAACTATGAAAAGACAGAGAAACTAGATTTTTAAACGAAAAACTTCATTAATTTAGCAGGTACAATAGTTCAAATGTCCGATATGTACATAATTTTTGAGAGAAAGGTTTGAAATACATAGCAAATGCTTCTTAATTTGTATCAAATCATGAACCTGTGCCAACAATGAAAAGGCCCACATATATTGAATTTTTGCCATGTTAATGCCTTTTAGGATTATGGCATTTAATTTTCACAAGGATCTAGGAGTTGGATTCTATTATCATCCCCATTTTTGAGCTGAGGCTTAGTGAAATAAGTAAACTGCCTGAACCAGTGGTGGAAAGCCAACATCTTCAGAGAAAAGAGCCCACACTCCTACCACACTGCATCAGTAAAGAAGACAATTATTTCATGAGTAGCCCTTACTTACAGCTTCACTGAAAGCAGTTACGAGCTAACCCGTTAAACTATAATTTGTAAAGCATATTTGAGATTCAGCCTTTCCATCAGATAATTACACTTCTCATCTACTTCCGTTATCTATTCTCTACATTTCTGCAATGCAATGTAACTACATGAAACCATTTCCTGGTATAACTCACTGTCTTAGTTAACTGGTCAATTCTATGAAAACCAGTGCAAGTTTCAAAAGGTCCACACTGGCTACCAAACAACAACCACTTCCCTAAAAAATGACAGCATAAAACATGTTTATCTGTTTGCAATCATCACATTTTCTGGCCTAAAGAGAATTTTTCTTAATAGAAATAAATTAACAAACATAGTTTAAAAGGGAACTTTACAACTGTATAGAAAGAAAGGATCAAAAGGGAGGAGGAATGAGAAGGAGATGGAGAGGCACCCCAGCAGCCTCGCCGCAGAGACAGGAGGTGGCGGGAAGGATGCCCTTCTGTGTGTTTTCCTTCTTCAAGTCTGACAACTCTACTAGGGCTCTAACTCCTGGGCTCAAGCAATCCTTCTGCCTCAGCCTCCCAAAGAGCTGGGGTGCACCCCACCCCCATGCTCACTACGGCTCTTTATAATGATGGGTACCATAGTAACACAAAAACGGGAAAAATGGGAACCTTTCTGCCTCTTCTTCCCGCTGAAGACAGCATAGCAATTGCAAATCTGGTTCATAATAAATCCTTTTTTTTTTTGAGACAGGGTCTCACTCTGCTGCCCAGGCTGGAGTGCAGTGGCATGATCATGGCTCACTGCAGCCTCAACCTCCCTCGCTCAAGCGATCCTCTCACCTCAGCCTCACAAATAGCTGGGCCTGCAGGCATGTGTCACCATGCCTGACTAATTGTTGGTTTTTGTTTTGTTTGTATGTATAGACAGAGTTTCACCATGTTGCTCAGGCTGGTCTCCCCCTCCTGGGCTCAAGCAATCCAACCTTGGCCTCCCAAAGTGCTGGCATTACAGGTGTGAACCACTCAGCCAGGCCCACAAAAAGCCTTTGATCATGATAAACTGTTAATGACTGGCCTTTGTTCTCTATCAGGTAGGTGTGAGTGGAGGGCTGACATTTTAAAACATGTACTGCTGCATGTGCGGAGGAACCACGTCAGAAATGCCCTTGAGCCCCAGCTGAAAGCAGGAAGCAAGCCGGATGTGCAGAAGCACAATTGAAGAAATTTCCAAGTGAGGTGATCTGTGAAGGGGCCAGGGCCCTTTGTTACTTTGTGTCATGGGCACTGGTGGATTCTGAGAGCAGCTGGAGTTGCGTTCACTCGGTGAGGTCAGAAAAGAGTAAAAGGCTCCTTTTGGTCCTGCCTAGTGAAGCCGTTCTCCTTGAGGGTCCCCAGCGTCACACACCTATCCTGATCCCAAAGCTCTAAGATATATTTGCAACAAATGTAATTCATGTGTCCTGAGATGTACATTTTTTTCGGTTTTAACATTTCTCCTATCAGTCCAGTTGCTAATAGACGATGCCTTAAAATTAATTGGTAGTGCTTTCGTGTCTTAGTACTATACAAAAACAGTGTGTCCTACAATCAGCTGTGTGTCTTTGATGTGTTTAATATGGTATGTTTACTTTATCCATGCATATGGTGGTTCATTCTGCACACTGTTATTCTGCACAGAGGTTCTCAGATGTGCACAATCCTCCTTTCAGTGCCATGGCCAACAAGGACCTTCAATACCTTACGATGGTGGTATTCTGAGAGCTGAAAGCATCACTGCAAGTTGCTTAGTATCTTGTGGCTTCCATGAGAGCTAGCTAATCCCGCTCTCCATGTTCTAATTAGCTATCCAACCAGAAAGAAAAGGCAATAGCAGCAGTCTCAATCCATTTTCCAAAGATTTCTTTCCAGCGTAATGATATATGCATCTTTTATTCATGGTATGTTGTTTGTGCCTTATACTCTAGCTCAACTTAACAAACATCTCGAACTTCCTTTTGAAACTAATGTTCCAAATCCTTAGCTTTATTTATTTGTAATGTAAGATGTAATAGCAGAGGCTAAAGGTCAAGGGATAATGCCTGGAGACCTAAATTAACTGACCATGTATTATGTAGAAACATCACCAACCAAGTTGCCAGTACATACAAAGCATTTAGCATCTACCACTGTTTTGAATGTCATAACTACTTTGAAAGAACTAATCTAGCTACATGTTAATGAAGAAACACCATACCTGTGTTGGGGGACAATTCATCCAGCAGCTTCACCATGCCCTCTCCCTGCTTGGAAGTCCACTTCTTGATGGGGGATCCGCCTCCGATCCTGCGGTACTGCTCTTGAATCTTGGGGGTTCGGCGTTTGGCGATAAACGGTGCCAGCTTACTAAATCATTTAACATGCAGGTAAGTGAACTTTATTCCACCTTAGCAACCTGAGAAATGTTTTCTACTCAATTAGAAAAGTAAGCAAAATTTTAGAGAGTCTAACAAGATTAAGGCTTTAACACAGAAGCTTAGGGGCCGGGCACGGTGGCTCAAGCCTGTAATCCCAGCACTTTGGGAGGCCGAGGCGGGTGGATCACAAGGTCAAGAGATTGAGACCATCCTGGTCAACATGGTGAATCCCCGTCTCTACTAAAAATACAAAAAAAATTAGCTGGGCATGGTGGCGTGTGCCTGTAATCTCAGCTACTCAGGAGGTTGAGGCAGGAGAATTGCCTGGACCCAGGAGACGGAGGTTGCAGTGAGCCGAGATCATGCTACTGCACTCCAGCCTGGGTAACAAGAGCGAAACTCCGTCTGAAAAAAAACAAAACAAAACAAAACAAAAAAAAACAGAAGCTTGAGGTCACTGACAATAGCCAGCTCTCTTAGTGCAGATTAAGGAGTTAAAGCTAGACCCTCTCTGAGAATTAACCCAGCTGTGCTCCACAAGTTGTTTCAGTAGCACACCCTGAAGATTCAGGACACACAATACCCATGCAGAGAGCCTGGATGTGTGCTAGCTACTAGCGTAACACATTTTGATCCCACACCTAACAAGAACTAGGATATAAGACCAAGGAAGTAGACATTCCTCTTAATTAAAAAAAAAAAAAAGGTCTATTAATCTTATAGATGTATTTGCACATAAGAGCAAAGATGTATGCACAAGAATGTCCACTGTGACACGGCAAACAACCTGTCTATCATGAAGCACAAATTAAACAAACTAAGTTACAGCCATACGATGCAATTCTAAATAGCAATCAAAAAATGAGCCAGATCTATATATCAATATAATCTGTTATGAAACAAGATATAGCATTTTTTTTTTTAAAAAAGGAAAGTGTCAAATATAGTATATAAGTACATTCACATTTGTGTAACAAAGTGGAGGAGGGTGTGTGTGTGTGTGTGTGTGTGTGTGTGTGTATGCTTGGATATATATGGACTATTTCTGGATGTGACAGTATTTACCTCCATGTGGGTAACTGGGAGTGCAAGACGAAATGCACACTTGCCTTTTATTATAATTACTTTTATACTATTTGCACTTTTTATCACATACATGTATTAATTTTTCATTACAAAAATCTATTTTAAAAGAAAAAAGAGGGAAGAAGGGAAAGAAGGATGACAGGAAAAGGACAGCAAGAATCCGTATTTATAGTACAACTGAATAATCATCATTGCTTCCCTGAGTGTTAATCAGCCATTAAGTGCCAAGTACAAATATATCTTTAAAAATCTTTAAAGGTACTTAGGCTATGTCAAGACAACTGCAATTGCCAGGGCTCTGGGGAGCAAAGGGCTCAAGGAGAATCGTCACTACCTTACTCTCTCCCCTGCAATTTTCTGATATTATATCCTTCTAATATCTAATAGAAAACAATGCTGCTGCTTTAACCATTACCAGATACGATTTAAACTATTTCCTGTTTTGAAATTACAGAATTGAGAAACACATGTAAGATACAATGTAGTGAAGGTTATCATAACATCGCAGTGTTTGTACGTATCTCACTTCTGAATAGGAAGCGTCATGAGATCACGGTCCAAGAAGAGTCTCAGAAGGAAGTCGTGAACATCTCCGAGGGTTTCAGGGCCTCCCATGTTTAGCATTAATATTCCAGTTTTTGGCTTCCTATATAAAATAACATACAACGGTTAATTTGTCACACTTTCTTTGAGGGTGGAATCTTGGTTCAGCCAGCAAACTCTTTTTTTTTTCTTTTTTTTGAGACAGAGTTTTGCTCTTGTTGCCCAGGCTGGAGTGCAATGATGTGGTCCTGGCTTACCGCAACCTCCACCTCCCGGGTTTAAGTGATTCTCTTGCCTCAGTCTCCTGAGTAGCTGGGATTACAGGCATGTGCCACCATGCCCAGCTAATTTTGTATTTTTAGTAGAGACGGGGTTTCTCCATGTTGGTTGGACTGGACTCAAACTCCTGATATCAGGTGATCCGCCCGCCTCAGCCTGCCAAAGTGCTGGGATTACAGGCGTGAGCCATCACGCTCAGCTCACCCAGCAAACTCTTATCTAACCTGTTCCATATAAAGGTAAATACTCTGGCTCTTTCCACTGCCATCACACAGATATCTATTTGCGGACATCTGTGGCCTCCAGTTCCCCATTGTCTGGGCTTAGATTCTGACCTTTGTCTTTTGTCTTCATCCATGATACCGTCTTCACTCAGCTGGAAATGTTTCCCTTTTAAAGATTCAGCCTGAACAGAGATCGAATCTTTAGGGACTGAGAGTTGAGGTAGAAATCTAAAGTTGTCGGCCAGGAGCGGTGGGTCACACCTGTAATCCCAGCACTTTGAGAGGCCGAGGCGGGGGGATCACGAGGTCAAGAGATCAAGACCATCCTGGCCAACACAGTGAAACCCCGTCTCTACTAAAAATACAAATAAATTAGCCAGGCATAGTGGCACATGCCTGTAGTCCCAGCTACTCGGGAGGCTGAAGCGGAAGAATTGCTTGAACCCAGGAGGTGGAGGTTGCAGTGAGCCAAGACTGCACCACTGCACCCCAGCCTGGTGACAGAGCAAGACTCTGTCTCAAAAAAAAAGAAAAAAAAAAAAAAAAAAAGAAAGCACCTGTACATGTGAATGCTTTATAAATACAAAGGTTACTGTACATGTGAATGCTTTATAAATACAAAGGTTACCTGACCTCTCCCAACTTCAGGTTTCTCATTTGGAAAACACAGCATCCACCACCTGCCTCAAAATGCTGTTTTGAGAATTCAGTGGGTAACATCTTCAGTCACTTAGCACATGCTGGCACACGGTAAGTTCTACGCAGAGCAGGGCTTCCCCCATCATTTTAAACCCCCACAGTCTAATACCAGCCCATCCCCACTCTTGCATCTGTTCCTGTCTCTTTAGTCATTATTAAATTAAATGACTACTGACTGAAATTATTTTTTACATTTTATTTTTGAAATGGAGTCTCACTCCGTCACCCAGGCCGGAGTGCAGAGGTGTGATCTTGGCCCACTGCAATCTCCACCTCCCAGGTTTAAGCAATTCTCCTGCCTCAGCTTCCCAAGTAGCTGGGATTACAGGCACCTGGGCGAATTTTTTTTTTTTTTTTTTTTTTTTTTTTAGTAGAGATGGGGTTTCACCATGTTGGCCCAGCACTTCGGGAGGCCGAGCAGGGTTCCTGAGATCAGGACTCAAACTCCTGACCTCAGGAGCCCTCCTCAGCCTCCCGAAGTGCTGGGATTACAGGCATGAGCCACTGCACCAGGCCTGACTGAAGTTATTGCTTGCTCCTCTGCTATCTTCTCCAGGACCTCCCTCTATTCTTTCATCCATGGCTCCTGTTATGATAAACTTCAGCTCTCCATCCTGCATGTAAATTCACTGCGTAGATAATTCCTACAAGAACTGTTGCTAACATTCTAATTAGTCCCAGGCTAAAGAATCAACGACTGTATGAGCAGGAAGAAGAAAAAGGAAGCAGAGCTCCGAACAAAAGTTTTCGGCCAAGCAGCTCCTGGAAAACTAAAACAACAAAATACTCTGCAAAAATGTAAACCTAAAATCCAGATCAAGCTCTGGAGTCTACACAGCCCAAAGTGAGCCAGGCCGGAAGTTCCCCACTCCTAAACCCTGCCAGAGAGCAAGGTAGAGCTGGAACAGGACCAGGTACCTCTGGCACGCTGGCGGGAGCCACCAGAAGACCTTGTGTGTCCCCATGAACAGGTAGCCATGGGATGACAGTGACTGGGAAACTAAAGAACAAGGAGTATGTCTTCCATTCATTCATCCTTTTTTTTTTTTCATTTTAAAAAATTGAGCATAACTCACAAACCATAAAATTCACCATAATCTGAACAATTCAGAGGTTTCTAATACATCCAGAAGGGCAGAAAACCGTCACAACTATCTAACTCAAGGACATCTTCGGCCGCAAAGAATCTTTGTATCCATTAAAGCTACTCTCCATTCCCTTCCCTCTCACCAGTGGCATCTACTTTCTGGGTCTACAGATTTGCCTATTCAGCGCATTTCATAGAAATGGAATCACATGATTGTGTCTGGTTTTACTCGGCATAAAATGTTCATGCTACGTGTCATAGCATGAATCAGTACACTTCACTCCTCTTTATTGCTAAATAATATTTCATTATATGGTTATACCCTCTTTTCACTCTCAATAAAGCAGCTGAAAAATAACCAGTCTGAATTTTATCTGAACACTGTTATTGTGAATACTGAGGGGTCCACGCCCTGAATTTCCCACACCAGACCACCTGACTACTGCAGTGACTAAACCAACGCTGCGGAGACAAAGCCTGCGTAGGAGACAATTGCTTTTTATTTATTTATTTATTTCTGAGATGAAGTCTTGCTCTGTCACCCAGGCTGGAGTGCAGTGGCACGATCTTGGCTCACTGCAACCTCCGCCTCGCGGGTTCAAGCCATTCTCCCGCCTCAGTCTCCCGAGTAGGTGCGATGACAGGTGTGCACCACCACACCTAGCTAATTTTTGTATTTTTAGTAGAGACAGGGTTTCACCATGTTGGCCAGGCTGGTCTTGAACTCCTTACCTCATAATTAGTTTACCTTGGCCTCCCAAAGTGCTGGGATTACAGGCGTGAACCACTTCGCCCAGCTAGAAGACCATTCTTAATGTACTTGAAAACTAGTAATACTATGATGGCATCTTTCTCATTTGTTTTTTTGAGACAGGGTCTCACTCTGTTGCCCAGGCTGGAGTGCAGTGGCACAAACAAGGCTCACTGCATCCTTGACCTCCCTGACTCAAGTGATCCTCCCGCCTCAGCCTCCTGAGTTGCTGCGACCACAAGCACATGCCTCCATGCCTGGCTACTTTTTAAATTTTTTATAGACACAGTCTTGCCATGTTTCCCAAACTGGTCTCAAACTCCCAGCTCAGGCTCCCAATCAGGCTCCCAAAGTGCTGAGATCACAGGTGTGAGCCACTGCCCCGGGCTTATAATGACACCTTAATGGGCAATTTTAAACAATTATTAACATCCGGCAATAATATAAGGTAGCAAGCCATGTCAAATGTAAACAGGTGGAAACTGTTTTCTTGATCAAACCTATTGTAAGTGAATGAGGTAAAAACCTGAATTCTCAACCTACAAATCAATTCCTGGGGAAGGGAAAATGTTGCATTACAATGAAGGCAGGAATTTTCTCATTTAGACCCCATTATAAAGATTAACTAAGGTCCCTTTTCACATCATTGCCTTAGACCAGGCGTCCCCAAACTACGGCCCTCGGGCCTCATGCGGCCCCCTGAGGCCATTTATCTGCCCCCTGCGGCACTTCAGTAAGGGGCACCTCTTTCATTGGTGGTCAGTGAGAGGAGCACAGTATGTGGCAACCCTCCAACAGTCTGAGGGACAGTGAACTGGTCCCCTGTGTAAAAAGTTTGGGGACGCCTGCCTTAAACCAGGGTTTCTCAACCTCAGCACTACCGACAGTTGGGGCTGGAGAGTCCTTTGTTCTCATGTAATTCAGGAGGCTTAGCATACCTGGCCTCTACCTACAAACGACAATAGCACACGCCTCACCCCTGTGTGACAACCAAAAACCTCTCCAGACATTGCCAAATTTGTCCCAGGAGGCAAAAATGCCTCTTTCCCCCCGCTGAGCATCACTGTCTTAGAGGAAGAGGGCTTAATCCCCTTTTTACAAAACCAAGCCACTGCACTGAAGATGTTGTTCTATCACTCTTCCATGCTCAACTCCTATGGCTGCATTAACAGGGGTGTTGAGGTTTCTTTCCTGGATATTTGAAAATTCCAGATGCATTCTTTTGTGAAGCAAATATTCCTTTAATCTTTCTACTTAGACCACCAGTCTTCTCCTGGGATCCTATCTTTCGCCCTCAAAATCTGTGACTCACAATAAATTAAGTGCATTTTCCCATGGATTGCTGCCAGTTAACAGATTACTGGTTAAATTAAAAAAAAAAAAAAAAAAAAACCTCAGGCTAAAAGACTTACCTAAGCCACAGAGGGTATCAATGTGCAAACGGGATTTAGAGCTGTTTTTCATCTATAACACCTGAGCTCAGAACAAGAGTGGCTTTAAAGGGGATGCTACTCTGCCCTGCTCATGGTTTTGCAAACCCATGTTGATCTTACACATGAAAGAGATGCACAGGACTTGAAAATACCTAAATACACACACACTTAATTCAAAACTGTGTTGTGCATGATGAACGGCGCATTAGGAAACCCTAGTCTGACACCCCTCTATTCCAGAATGTGAAGGGAAAGCTTTAGTCAAGGGTCTCCGTCTCCTCTCCCTCCAGACAGAACACACCTGAGACCAAGGTCTGAATGTTCTCGTTCCGTTTGTTTGAACATAAAAGTGTGTACAGCAAAACATATTTAGAACTTCTCACTTGGAAAGGTTTCAACATTTTGCCATTTTTATATCGTGGACTCTCAAAATACAAGGTTTTTCCTTGAAATAGTAAATGCACATAACAGAAACTTAAGCTTGTCAATAAACAATAATTCTATTCTACTGTATATGATCAGCCTCAAGAAAAAGTAATCAGAGCCCAGCTCTTCATTAAACCTGTAAGACATGCTTGGCCTGTGTGTCTACAATGCCTCTGGAAAAGAGTTTGGCAAACTATAGCTCATGCACTAAATCTGTGTACACACATACACCTCTACTGCCTGTTTTTTGTACATAAAGTTTTACTGGAACACAGTTCCCCTCATTGTTTACGTAATATCTATGGCTGCTCTCACATGACAACAGCAGACTTGAATAGCAGCAAAAGAGAGAGTTTGGCCTACAAAGCCTAAAAAATTTACTACCTAACCCTTTACAGAACAAATCTGTCCACCCCTAACCTAGAGTAGTGTTGAGTCTAGTATTGTAGTCTAGTCCAGTCCAAGGATCAAGCAGCACAGTGCCTTTATAATGTCTGCCATCAGAATAATCCACAAAGACACTCATTGCTTCACCATTTCTAATATTAAAAAGCTAGAAATCAGGTCTGAGCACAGTGGCTCACGCTTGTAATCCCAACCCTTTGGGAGGCCGAGGCAGGTGGAGCATGAGGTCAGGAGATCCAGACCACCCTGGCTAACAGTGAACCTGTCTCTACTAAAAATAGAAAAAATTAGCTGGGCACGGTGGCAGGTGCCTGTAATCCCAGCTACTCAGGAGGCTGAGGTTGCAGTGAGCTGAGATAGCGCTGCTGCACTCCAGCCAGGGGAATTAAAAACAAACAAACAAACAAACAAACAAAAAAACTAGAAATCAACTATATGTCCCATAATGTGGGACAGGGTAGTTTATGATTTAATAAAATATTCTTCAGTTACTAATACAGACATATATTTGTATTTATATGAAGATAAAGTAAATAAAATGAAGGTGTTATAAATATATGATGTACAGTAATTTCACACCTTGCTAAACACAAACTGAGTGAATATTAATAGTCATACAGACAAAATTGGCCTGGCTGGTGGCTCACACCTGTAATCCCAAGCACTCTGGGAGGTTGAGGCAGGAGGGTTGTTTGAGCCAAGGAGTTCGAGACAAGCCTGAGCAACACAGTGAGACCTCGTCTCTATTTTATTTTTTAAGAAGAGAGAGAGAGACAAAATATTGGGTAGTAAGATTATTCGTAATGTTTAGAGTATTTTTTCTTTTTGCCTATTCTCTAAAATGAACCCATTTCTCTTATATAAACATGCTCTAAAGTTACTTAGTAGAATTTGAAGATTTTCATTTAATTTTAATAATATTAAGGCTACTTATAGTAATGACTGTTGCCACTAAAATAACACACAAATGAAATAACTTTTCTTCCAGGGTTCCACATTGAATCACTTCTTCACTTTATATCAAATCCCAACCCTCAGTGCTTAAGGCTGAGGTGGAGAGAGGGGCTGGGAGGGGCAAGGAGGGAAGGAATGAGGCCCTGCTGGGCATGCTGCCAGATGAAGAGGCTATCTAAGACCTGTCCCCAACTAACCTCAGTTTACACAGCACTCAATCATCATACCCATGATCACGCAGCAAAAAATAACAAACACAAAAGAAGAAAATTTTGGTTTTGGCCAGGCGTGGTAGCTCACACCTGTAATACCAGAACTTTGGGAGGCCAAGGCAGAGAACTGCTGAAGCCAAGAGTTCAAAATCAGCCTAGGCAGCAAAATAAGACCCCATCTTTACAAGGAAAAAAAAAGTTTTTAATTAGTTGGGTGTGGTGGTGTGCACCTGTAGTCCTAGCTACTTGGGAGGCTGAGACAGGAAGATCGCTTAAGCCCGGAAGTTCAAGGATGTAGTGAGCCATGATCACACCATTGCACTGCAGCCTGGGTGACAGTGCAACACTCCTTCTCAAAATAAAAAGAGTGACTCACACCTGTAATCCCAGCACTTTGGGAGGCCAAGGTGGGTGGATCAATTGAGATCAGGAGTTCGGGACCAGTCTGGCCAACATGGTGAAACCCCATCTCTACTAAAATTACAAAATTAGCCAGGCGTGGTGGCATGCACCTGTAATCTCAGTTACTCGAGAGGCTGAGGCAGGAGAATCACTTGAACCTGGGAGGTGTAGGTTGCAGTGAGCCAAGATCGTGCCACTGCACTCCAGCCTGAGAGAAAGAGCAAGATTCCCTTTCAAAAAAAAAAAAAAAAATGGCCAGGTATGGTGGCTCATGCCTATAATCCCAGCACTTTGGAAGGCCAAGGCAGGTGAATCACTTGAGGTCAGGAGTTCAAGACCAGCCTGGCCAACATAGTGAAACCCCATCTCTACCATAAATACAAAAATTAGCCAGGTATGGTGGCATGTACCTGTATTCCCAGCTATTTGGGAGGCTGAGACATCAGAATCACTTGAACCTGGGAGGTGGAGGTTGCAGTGAGCCAAGATCCTGCCACCACAGTCCAGCCTGGGTGACAGACTGAGGCTCTGTCTCAAAAATAAATATATACATACATATATATATATATATATACACACACACATATATGTATTTATTTATTTTCATGCCTGTACAATTTTCATCAATGTGTGATCTAGCAGAAAGGTCATGGAGTTAAATAGGTCACAGCAACTTTCTTTCTCCCTGCATGATGTTCAAGTGTGCTTTTTCTATTTACTCATCTCGGTAACTTTATGGAGTCCTCTGTTGCTTCTGTACAGAGGAGGACTTGGGAGCAATTGTGACTTCTGTTACTAAACAGGACACTTGCAACAATGCCATGCCTGCTGCCAGCCGCCAGCAACAGAAGAGCTGAGGTATGAAAAGTGTATTTCACTTCTTTAATAAATGATAAATCACATTACATCCTTTATAACTACATTCACTGTGTTAACGAATGAAAAACAATACTCTAGTTTCCTATAGAAATTCTTGGTTGATCAGTTATTCATTATCCTGTACAGAACATACATTTCATAGGCATAATTACATTAGGTTCAAAAATACATTTCCAGCATTTATAATTTATGTTATGTGACATATTCCAGAACCGAATTCTTAACATGATTTGCAGACTGTTTGGACTCAGCTCTGTGTCTTTTAACAATAGCCCTGTTGTGGGGAAGGATCAAGTGGGGAAGGAGGGTGTAAAACCTGTGGTTTCACAGCTGTTGAAAGGAAGCCAAGACAACAGTGCATGGCTCCTTCCACACTGGCTTTTCCCAGCACCTTTTCTCTGAGGCAGCTTGTATGTACAGAGGTCTGCATCAAGAAAGAGAAGTCCTTATTTGTACCTGATGTTAGACTCATACCTCTTCTCCGGCTGAACTTGAGGCTTTGCACCCAGGGCATGCTGGGCTGTTTCTGCAGCGGCTACACCCGACTTCCACCTCCACGGCTGACAGGCCCTCCAGCTGCCGGACGCCACTGTGACAAAATTAAAGTGCTCACGTGAAATCTAGCTGGAAAGTAATTTCTTCTGAAGAGGTCCTGAGAGCATAATTCCTGGCTTTGAAATTTAAAGAGATGTGATAGCAGAAATGATTTTCCTAGCATTTTTCTAAAGGCAGGTAAAGGCACTTAAAGCCTCTCCAAGGGGATGAGGTGGAAGATCCCTCCGCTCCCCTGGGATGGCTGATGAGAGCCTGCAGGGAAGCATTTTAGAAGCTACACACACCTCCTCTCCCCACCGTGGCTGCAGATTTTGATACGATCCCTCACAAGAAGCCCTGCACGTGACCAACATGACTGACAGTAGCATGTTGCTCCAGTAGAAGGAGAAGGGACTGCAGAAAAGGAGAAAAGCTGCCAATTTAGGGAGTGGCAAGTGGGCCAGTTTTCAACTAGCTGCATTTCTTTCTGCCCCCAAGCCTCCTTCAGTGAGCAATGGTGCTGAGCCCAGCACTGCCCTTGGACCTTGACAAGGGGCCTCTGCTTCCCAGGGCAGGATCTGGCCCTCCTCCCTCTGCACCCCACCCCTCGGTGTATGTAGCCTCTACCACCAAGGAGACATGCCCCCACCCTGGGAGTCCACATCCCACGTGCCAGACCAGGCTTCCAGCACCCCAGGATTCCCTGTCCCCCAAGCTCCACACCCACTCCCAGGGTCTGTGCAGGCCTGTTTTCTGGATCCATCCTCCTGAGGGAGGTTGTGCCATTAGTGTAGCAAGTCTTGACCTGAATGGTGGCCAAGGGATAGCTGTTTGCAGGGGCAAGACTGGAACTGGGTGGGCATGCAGACCAGAGAATCCATCCAGGCTGTTCGCCAGACTCCTCGCTGGGCTAGAAAGAGCCAGTGGTAGGAAGAGAAGCAGGAAAGTGTGTGAGTCAGAGGCAGCTCTCCTAAGGCCTCTACATTTCTGCAGGAGCTCAGAGAGTTCAAGAGCTCACCCTTCCAGGTAGTGATGAAGGTCTGTTTGTCAACATAGGAGGACAGAACCTATTTCCCAGGTTGTTAGCTTGCTGTATCTCACATACCATGTATGTGCCTTCAAGTATACCCTTGTCCTGGGCCCCACAGGAGGTAGCAGTGGGCCTGAAGAACCCACCTGAATCGAGGAGTCCATGTGCCATACTCAGCTGGCATATGAAGAGTACTGGTCCTTAAGCATCCAGTGAAATGAAACTGAAGCCATACAGGATGTACTGAAGATGGTCACATAACAAAGTGGTTACTATGGCACCTGGTGCTATGCGCACGACCTCTCTCCCATTCTCAAACCAGCCAGTTAGAAACCAGCTTGCAGTCAGTCTCCTTCTACCCTCCTCCTCCTGAGAGGCAAAGGCACCCTGAGGAGGAATTCAGGCTGTGGTCAAGCAGCTCTGACTCTGAATCCAGCTCTGCCACTTACTAGCAATGTGATCTGGGGCCAGGTCTTCCTGAGCCTGAGTTTCCCCAGCTGTCAAATGACAACTTGCTACAGGAATTCTTGTGAGGAGTAGAGCAGAGGAATGTAGCCTTCTGCAGCGTCCACCACGTCATTAGTGCTGGCATTAGTTTCAATTGTCAGTTTCTAGAGGATGGGAACTATACTTGCTCTAATTTTTTTTTATCACCTAGCGTATCTGTAAAATATAAGAGAATATCACCAGACCATTAGAATTCCAACCATCCAGATTGTGCACATTCCCAGCAGAGTCAATTATGTGAGCTTACGCTGAATCATCCTTACCCACTCAAAGTGGAAGTGCAAATATTCCACTTCCATAAAGAACTTAAATTTCCAACTGGATTTCCATAAAGAAGTTCAATTACATCTGGTTTGAGTTGATGTTTAAAAGAAAAGAAAAGAAAAGAAAGAAAGAAAGAAAGAAGGCCAGGCACCATGGCTCATGCCTGTAATCCCAGCACTTTGGAAGGCTGAGGGAGGTGGATTACCTGAGGTCAGGAGTTCAAGACCAGCCTGGCCAACATGGTAAAACCCTGTCTCTACTAAAAAAACAAAAATTAGCTGGGTGTGGTGGCGGGCACCTATAATCCCAGCTTCGCAGGAGGCTGAGGGAGGAGAATCACTTGAGTCCGGGAGGCAGAGATTGCAGTGAGCCAAGATCACACCACTGCACTCCAGCCTGGGCAACAGAGCACGTCTCAAAAAAAAAAAAAAAAAAAAAAGAAGTTCAATTCCGAGTCTCAAACCAACTCACATCTCTTACATAGGTCTAATTCTGAACTTCATGATGGGATTTAACCAGGTTCCTAATCATGCTGCAATGTCCCCAATTCCTTCTATGAATGAGATTGTATCAGATTCCATGGGGCGAGAGAATAAAACCTTGGCATTCCACGATTTTACTGCTGGTACTAGTTTAGCATCCCAAATGTGAAAATCCAAAATCCGAAATGCTCCAAAACCTGAAACCTTTTGAGCATGGACATGACACTCAAAGGAAATGCTCATCGGAGCATTCTGAATCTTAGATTTTCAGATTTGGAATGTTCAATCTGTAAGTATATTCCAAAACCTAAAAAAAAGTCTGAAACCCAAAACACCGTTGGTCCCAAGCATTCAGGATAAGGGGGTACTCAACCTGTAATAAGATAACATTTCCTCCATTGAACCTAAAAAAAGGAGGGGGTGCTAGATGTGGTGGCTCACACCTGTAATCCCAACACTTTGGGAGGCTGAGACGGGAGGATCATTTTAGCCCAGCCATTTGGGAACAGCCTGGGCAAAATAGCACAACTTCCATTTCTACATACAATTTAAGGAGTTAAAAAAAAAAAAAGAAAGAAAAGAAAGAAAGCAATGTGGAGGGACTCGATTTTCTAGCTAGCAGATGACGATTTCCTAGTAAAATTTGGGAGCTGGTAACTTTTCAAGCTGCTTAACCATTACCATGTACTACTTACAAAACTATTTTCTTCATGGTTGACCAGATTCTCAGAGAGAATGATATTGCTACCAAGGGACCCTTTCCACTCAGGACTTAATACACTCACCCTTCAAGGAGGCATCTCAAACACTCCTCTCCCATAATGGTCTGAAGGTCTTAGAGAAATGAAGAGTATCTCCTACCAAATGATTAGCATGTGTCCAGGCTAAAGGAGTTTAAAGTAAACATTCAAAGGGCCAACTGAGACTCTGGAAAAGACTCAGCTCACAGCTAAAGAGAATCTGATGGCACAGACAGCACTGTGTGGTGTAGAGTATGTGTTTGGAAACCAGAGAGATCTGAGCAGAAATCCCACATGGGACCAAGAGGCTGTTGGCTGGGCCTGGGCAACTCACTGAGATGCTGCAAGTCTCACTTTTCTCATCTGTAAAGTAAAATAGTGATAAGGCTCCTTCTGCAGGGCTGCTGTAAAGATAAGGGGGGTGGAGGGACTATGTCCATCCCCAAGAACAATGCCTGCCACACTGCATGTGGTTAAGCAAAGAAGTGAAGAACATCCAACAGTATAGACTTGACCACTTATGAACTCCGACCAAGTAATTCTGTCCCTCCTCCTTACATGGATAACTGGTCTACCTTTAGAAGGCCTACAAACAGGCTGGGCATGAAGGTTCATACCTGTAATCCCAGCACTTTGGGAGGCCAAGGCAGGAGGACTGCTTGAGACCAGAGTTCAAGAATAGCTTGGGCCACACGACGAGACCCTATCTCTATTTTTTTTAATTAAAAAGAAAAAAGGCCTACAAACAATAAAATTATCAAACTGAGAGATAAGCAGCAAAACACAAGATGACACAAGAAAAAACTTCCTAACTCCTGCGGTGGTGGACACCTGCAGTCCCAGCTACTTGGAAGGCTGAGGCAGGAGGCTCACTTGAGCTCAGGAGTTCGAGACCAGCCTAGACAACATAATGAGACTTGGTCTCAAAAAAAAAAAAAAAAAAACTTATCTCAACAAACAAACTTCATAACTCCTAGACAAATCCAATAGGTGATCATTCAAAAGTATACCTATGACTTAAGAAGTTCATAAGTTATGACTTCATGTTGTTGCAAAAAGAAATAAAGAAAAAGAGAAAAAAGAAAAAAAAAAGTTGGGCCAAATATGGTGGCTCACGAGGCAGGCAGATCACGAGGTCAGGAGTTCAAGACCAGCCTGGCCAATAAGGTGAAATCCCATCTCTACTAAAAATACAAAAATTAGCCAGGCATGGTGGTACATGCCTGTAGTCCCAGCTACTTGGGAGGCTGAAGCAGAAGAATCACGTGAACCTGGGAGGTGGAAGTTGCAGTGGGCCAAGATCACATCACTCGCACTCCAGCCTAAGTGACAGAGTGAGACTCCATTAAAAAGCAAAAAAAGTTCGTAAGTATCAATTGGTTCTTCAAAACCAAATTAATATTTTGGATGCTTGGGGGTGAGGCAGAAGAGGGTAGAAGGCAAAGTACAAAAGTACTTAAATCTATAATGGCTCTTTTCTATCACATAAGAGATGAGGATTACTTCAAAAGTACTTACAAAAGATGTACCATTTTTTAAATTAACAATAGAAATAAGGTTCTATATTGTAACTATTAATAAACATTGGGTAGTTGCTGAAATGGAGCCAAAATACTCTGTCTTCTATGTAAACACTAAGACTCTTGTATTATCCTAGAATTCTTTTTCTAATTACAAAAGACAATATATGCTCAGTGTAAAAAACAGTTTAGAGGGCCAGGCACACTGGCTCATGCTTGTAATCCCAGCTAATAGGGAGGCTGAGGCAGGAGGATCACTTGATCCCAAGAATTCAAGGCTGCAGTAAACTATGATGGCACCACTGTACTCCAGCCTGGGCAAAAGAACAACACTCCATCTCTTAACAAACAAACAAACAAACAAACAAACAAACATTTAAAGTTTGGAAAGAAAAAGGCACCAAGAAAAAAACATAATTCATATAGATAGCTAAACAGACAGACAGATAATATATGGCTTACCTCAGGAAGCTTATTAACTCTGTAATATGCTAAATACATAAAGTATAAAACTTTGCTTTTCCACTTTTACTTTCCGAACTCATTTTCAGAAATACTCCTCAATGTTTTCTCACACAGACGTCAATCCTTTCCTATCAACCAAAATGATGAACGTATTATATAACTACACCTTCAACTCAGTCTGTAACACAAATGGACTCCAAATCTACTTCTGCTAGAGTTTCTGAATCTTCCCGCTTTTAAAAACCCAGATTACAAATAATTTAAAGCTTCGCATATTACTCCATCACCTAAAATCTAGGACCTGTCAAACTTTATTTGCCACAGGAAAGGTCGATAAAAGAAAAGAGTAGTTCAATACTTTTCTCAGTCCCACAATTCGCAGTGTTGCCTCTTCTTAAAAGACAATGCCCTTTGTTCCCCAGTACCCTTAGTGAGCTAGCCTCGTTGTACACTGGATCCTTATTATTTTCCTAACAAAGACACCTCTAATGAGATATGGAGGTTCAGAGGGGATTCTCTCCACTCCAAGTAGCTGTCAAGCCGATGAACTTCTTAGAAAAGTATGTCAGGTCTGTGTCCAGTCACCGTTCAGATGCATTAAATAAGCATCTCATGGTAGCCTTCTACCTGAATGGCTAGACATTTTGAGGATTCCTGTGTACCTACTGTGTGCCAAGCAAGATGCTCATGTTCAAGGCAAGCCTTTAAATATATATATATATATATATATATATATATATATATATATGATTTCAAAGTACATTTACCAAGCTTAGGCGAGGTTAGGTGCCTTGTCCAAGGTGTCACAGTTAGAAATGCTGTCCCAACCAGGTGTGTGAGAACCACAGTCCCACCAGCTCATCCTGTGGTCACAACCTATTCAAGGTTTGCATCAAAAACGTTGGAAGTTGTTTCCGGGTCTTACATGTTCTCCAACTATCTCGAGAAAACACTACCCACAAGCTGCTCCACGGTGGGTCCCGCTGCCAAGAAGTGGGCACCGAGGGACCAAGGGCCATGGGCTTTCCTCAGCAGGGAGGGAACTGCGCAGCGATGTCAATGGTGGTGAGGCTGACGACGCCTTCCTTACTGTCGTCTATGGCAGTCCCATAACATACCTTCTTTTGCGTGATCCTCACCACAATCTGGTTATTACAGATGACAATAACCAAGGCTCTGGGAAATTCCAACCACCGCTCCCAGACACCCGGCCGACCGATGGGACTTGAACCTGCGCCTCCTGGATCCGGGCGCCCTCCCCAACGCCTCCCGAGCCGGGAGTGTTGCCCTCACCCCTCCCAGGGCAGAGCCCGTCGCCTCCCTTCTCCGAGACGCCCCCCTCCCGGTTGCTCGCAGCTCCCCACGGCCGCTCCCGGAATGCCCCGGGCGCGAGCGCCCCGGCGCCAGCTGCCCGCTCTGCCCACGCCGTCGCAGGAACCCCGGCCCCGGCAGCCGCCGCGACAGACCCACTTACGCGGATCGCGGAGCAGGGCGCCCGCGGCGCGCAGGGCCGCAGCCATGTTTGGGCCAAGTGAAAGCATTCCCGGGACTCGGCTCCTCCCGCGGCGGCGCGCCCAGGTGACCGCCCAGCAGCCGCCGAGCTGGGCCGCGCTCCCCACGCGCATCCCCAGCCCCCTGACCCCGCGCGGCCACCCGCGCCCTCCCGGCGCGCCCGCTCATTCGCTGCCTGGCCGGGGCGGGGCCTCGGGGGCGAGGCCAGACAGAGACACGCCCCTCGCGGAAAGCCCGCCCGGCTGGGCGCCGCTCCCTGCAGGAGAAAGGGCCCGGGGCTGCGCTAGACGCCCGCTCCCCATAACCGTCGCAGGTCTGCAAGACCTGCTGGACTCCTAGTTGCGCTGGACAGGTGCCCTGGCTGCCTCTGCCTAATTAGCCGAGGCAAGAGCCCCAGCCATGACTCAGCAAAGAACTTTTTTGACGTTTCCATCCCTATTATTTAGATATAAAGATGCTTTTGCATCAGTTCTCCAGTTTGCGTGCCTCACAAGTGTGCAGGTCCTGTTTTGTTTTGCTTTATCTTTAGAATAGAAAATGGAATTATTTTATATTAGAGGCTTGTGTCATTCAGTTTCTCTGCAGCCTCTCTGTGTAGCAAAGTTTGACAGGTGAGACTCACAGAAGAGCATTAGGAAAAGTGAAGGCCAGCCTGATAAGTGCATTTCTTGAAGGGACGATATGGTGAAGTTTGTCTGTTTCATATCCGCGCACCTTTCCAGGTAGCCGCCCGCCCCGCCCCCAAGGTCGCACACTGAGACCACGGGGAGGAACAGGCACGCACCCCTCACTTTGTTCCTACACCTCCGCCAGCCCACCCTGCCCATATATGTTCAATGCATTGTGGACTAGGAAACCAGCCCTTGGTACAGAAAAGTCTTGGGCATCGGTATTCATTGAACAAATACTGAGTGCCTACCATGTGCATTGAATAACAGTAGCGGAAAGAGCAGACCTGGGTTTACACGGTGTTAGCAGAGACACAGGAAATATCACAATATGTACTATTTTGAGTGGCGACCAGCATTAGAAGAATGAGCCCTCCCATGCTCTCTCCCCTCTTCTTTTTCCCTCTCAGGACAAAAGAAGAATGAAGCAAGGTAAAAGAGATGAGGTAGGGTCGCGGAAGGGGCTAATGCCATTTGAAGCAGATGGGTCAGAGAAGTCCTCACACATTCAAGCAAAGGCCTCTTACACACTTGAGAAAAGGGAGCAAGCTACATGGAACATTCAGGAAAGATGGAGTCTAGATTCACCTAAAACTCAGTTGTCTGTAGCTTAAACGTGTGCTACTGATGGAATTAGTTTATTTCTTATTAAAGTTAGTCCTCCCGATAGTTATAAGCCCAATGCAAAATGTCAAATTAAATGGATAGCCTTTCATATTACCTACATGATCTTCATATCCAAGCAGATGTCCTGAGAAAAGAACAGTAAAATCTGCTCCAGGTATCAACCCACCTTCCTATACGTGTGGCTAATTCTCTACCCGCATAACCAAAACTGTAGTGGTTTTAAGTTGCTCTTTAAAGAGGTGATCTTCATGGATAATAGACTTCGCTACCTACAGTCTGAACCCTTCGTCGTCATTGTCGTTGCTGTCTTTGTTTTTCTGGTAGAGACAGAGTTTTGCCATGTTGGCCACGCTGGTCTCAAACTGTTGACCTCAAGTGATCCACCCACCTTGGCCTCCCAAAGTGCTGGGATTACAGGCATGAGTCACTGTGCACAGCCTGAACCCATTTCTTCCAAGGAAACTAAATTAAAATACTGCATATCTTGCAATGCTGTGCTGGCAGATATGTAGACAAGGCCAGAGTATAAAACGGCCGGGGGTGTTAGACGTCTGAACTATGTAGGCTCTTGTCCCCTCTAGAAGGCCCTGGATAAGTCGCCCCCTCCATCCAGGGTGCTGGGCCCCCTTCGTGCTGGGTACAGATAAGGGGATTTCTGGTCCCTCCCAGGCAAATGTTGATGATTAGTGACAAGGCATAAAGGTACCAAGACTTACCAGAACGAAATCAACAGTTGGTGTGGGTTAACTTTTGTTCCTGTCCGGAAAGGATTAAGGAACTAGCAAAACATACTTTATTAAATAAATATATCAACAGAATTTTTCAATGAATCAGCATCATTTCATTTCCTTTATTCACATCTTGTACTTTCATTATTACTGACTTCTCTATTTTATTTTATTTTTATTTTATTAATTAATTAATTTTGAGAGGGAGTACCACTCTGTTGCCCAGGCTGGAGTGCAATGGCACGATCTCAGCTCACTGCAACTTCTGCCTTCCGGGTTCAAGCAATTCTCCTGCCTCAGCCTCCTGAGTAGCTGGGATTACAGGTGCCTTTATTGACTTTTAAAAAGTTATTCAGAAGTTTTTCAGAATTCAGAATTCCTCATATGACACCTCCTGGTGCACATATTAAGAACTCATAGGTTAATACTGAAAACAGAACTTCATTCTTTTTCCCCCAACAGAGTACCATGAAAATTGTTATTTCTAATCTATGGCTTATTTCATACAAACATTAAATATAACAGCTTTCCAATGAGTAAATTTTTATGTGCTTATGAAATGAAGGCAGATAAAATGTGTTTTATGTTGTTCCTTTTCAAAACTGTTAGACAACACAGCCCTTAACCCAGAAATTGTGAACTCTAAATACTGGCTTACAGAAAAGCCCTTGAAAGGCCCAAGAAATTTGCAGAACCATATGATATACATAATATAAATTTTTTCTGACCAAACATATTTTTAACAAAATTACACACCAATTTCATTATCAAACAGAAGGCTACAAAGCCACAGTGTCCTGGCTAACGGAGATAAGTAGCACCCTGACTAGGAGGGAGAGGGTTTTTCTGGGGCCTGGTGGCTTCATTAGTGAATAAAGCATTCACCTGTCACAGACACCAATCTGAGTGCAGCCTGTGATCCTAAATAAAATGAATTTGTTGGTTTCAGCTCAGTGCTTCAGGGAAAGGGGTGGGAAATCTCTTCGTTCATTACTTGCCATGATTGGCACCTCTGAGCTACACAAAATAAATTTAGATTATTCAACTCTGATTCCTTAATCAGAAAAAGAACGAAGGAAGGGGGGCGTCAGGAGGGATTCAAAGCAAGAAACACAGTGGCTGTGTGTGACAAATGGTAAGCTATAATGATTACTCAGCGATGTCTGATCGATTATCCCTAGAATCATTTTACAACAAAGACCCCCCAAATCCAGGCCACCATGCCATGCGTTTTGACGTGCCCCTCTTCACGCAGAGCCTTCAGCCCTACGGTGGTGGTGGGTTTATTAATCCATCTGCGCCTATTTCCTGACCGTCTACCATGAGCAAAGCATTGTATCAGGTGATGTGGAGGATAAAGAGTGAAAACGAAAACAAATGACATTCTCAAACGACACATTCGTGTAGGAGACTCCACTCTGTCAGGCACATGGCAGGCACTGGGTGTGCAGCAATGAACTGGATGGTCTACTCTCATTAGAAGGTACCTTCTAGAAGGCAAGGCAGACGATGGTTTTACAGCAAAGATGAAAGACATACAACATGTTGTCAGGTATGGCTAGAGACTGTGAAGAAAGCTAAAGGAGGCTCAGAAGGGAGAGGGACTGAAATTGCTCGTGTTAGTAGTGCCGTCAGGACCAGACTTTCTGCGAAGGTGGCATTTCAGCAGGGACCTACAGGGAGTGAGGGCATTGTCTGGGGAAGGGCTTGCGAGCAGAGGGACCAGCAAGCACTGAAACACATTCGAGGCTTGTATTCATTTCCTAGGGCTACCGTAACAAAATACAACAAACCAGGCAGACAAATGTGTTTCTTCCAGTTCTAAAGGCTAGAAATGCCAAAATCAGGGTGTCACCAGGGCTGCACTCCCTCTGAAACCTGCAAGGGAGAGTCCTTCCTTGCCTTTGTCAGCTCGTGGTGGTGGCAGCAATCCTTGGCATTCCTTGGCTTCTAGATGCGGCACTCCAAGCTCCGCAGTCACAAGCTCTCTTCTCTTGTAAGGACACCAGTCATTTTGGATTAAAGGCCTACCCTAATAACTTCATCTTAATTTGACTGCATCTGCCAAGACCCTGTTTTCAAATCAGTTCATGTTTGCAGGTAGCTGAGGGCTAGGATGTCAACATGTCTTTTGGAGGAACACAACTCAACTCTATAATAAGGCTATCAAAGAACAGCCGGGAGGCCATGTGGCTTGAGTGGGAGGTGGGAGGGAGAGGAACCAGGGCGGATTGATGTAGAACTTCGTAGGTGCTGAAAGACTGTGTCTTCCGTGTGACCTCCATTTAGCAGAGTGATATGCGCTTGTTTTAGAAGGTTCACTTTGTCTCCAATATGAGGAATAAACTGGGTTCCTGAGCCAGTCTTCACTTAGAATGCATGACTAAATGTGTCCATTGTGTTTTGTTTTTTTTTTAACTCACTCATACTGAGTGTTTTTTCCAGAGTCCTCTGCTTCCTGGGTGGTGGGAGGGTCCTAAAGGGGCCTTTCTGATTTGCTTCTTCCAGGACCCAGGGGTCCCACCAGTCTTAGACAAAGTTTGTGTGAATATCTCAGCTTGGTTGTCCTGTTCCCTGCAGGTGTATAAATTCACAGCCAGGGAGCTGGCATTTCCCAGAGCCCCCGGAAGATGGCAGGCTTCTTTCTGCATCTCTGGGCAGAGGGCCAGTTTTCTGGATTACTTTTCGCAGAAGGGCGGGGCCTCTGCCGCCCCGCTTCAGGGAGGGGTCTGGCCATAGCCCCAACTTCCTGTGGCTGCATGGGCATTCTAGGAGCTGGGCACATGACGTGTTCACTGTGAAAACTCATGAAGTTGCATGCTAATGATGCATGCCCTTTTCTCTATAAATGTTATACTTTAATGAAACTTTTTTTTAAAAAAAACAAGCCCCTTCGTGCATTTATGTGGCTGGGCTCAATTCACCCCGGAGCCCGCTTCCTATCCTAACAGCTCTGACTCTGAGATTCTCTCGAGCCCCTCCCCTCCAGTTCTGATGCCCAG